TTTCACGTTGATCACCAAGCCCGCCATCTTCAGGTCCGAGATTATCATTTGGCATGTTGCTTGTGCATGTGCCTTGGACGTGCATAAGAACAAGATGTTGTCCACGTAGGGTACAACTCGAATGCCTTGTTTGTGCCAGCGCCTGGCTAGATGTTTGATGAGTTGTGTGAAGACCAATGGTGCTGTCGCGAGGCCGAAAGGCAGTGAGCGAAAGGAGTACGTGCGCACCTCAAATTCGAAGCCGAGGAATTTCCAGCAAGAGTGGTGTATGTCGACATGATGGTATCCGGATTTGAGGTCGTTGGAGAACATCCAGTCTCCTATGCGCGCGAAGTCGGCGATGCGACTAGATCCCTCATATTTGAATTTCGGAATGATCAGGTGCTCGTTCACTTTCTAAAGGTCGATAAAAAGCCTGCATTTTTCACGTTGCTCGACCACGTTGATAGGGCTTATGCATGTGAGCTCCGCGGCTGGGGTAACGACCGCCGCTCCGATCTCCGTCAGTTCGCGAATGGCCATGCGTGTGAATGCCGTGTGTATGTGCGCGCCGAGATGGTTGCGTTCGTGAAACGGTTGTGGGGGGTTGTGTCTCCATGGTAGCCAGTAGCCATTGGCGATGACCGAGAGGATGAGGCTACTTGGGCACCACGAGCTCCACCATGCAAGGGTTGCGCGAAGCCGCCCGCGCATTCGCGTGACGGTCTTGTCTGTGACGGCGAATTCGTACGGATCGTCGTCGTCTAACACCTCCTCGCTTGTTGCCTCTGCATGTTTGCGGAGTGACGATGGGGCAGGATTGCAAATTGAGGTTCTTATGGATATGATACACATCCTTCGTGTGTGAAGGGTAGGTGCATGCGATGGGTGTATGCTCATTGACCCATTCGAATAATCATTTGTCAGCAATAGCATCCGCATTGTACGCCCCCGTTTTTTTTTTTTTTTTTTTTGGCAATCCCTTAACCAAGGAGTGGGTGTGAGTCTTTCCGCATGGTCACGTGACCACAAGTTTTTTTTTTTTTTTTTCGTCTCCTTGTTTATCTCTTGCTTGCTCCCTCTCTCCCTCTCCCCCCCCCCCCCCCCCCCTCTCTCTCTCTCTCTCTCTCTCTCTCTCTCTCTCTCTCTCTCTCTCTCTCTCTCTCTCTCTCTCTCTCTCTCTCTCAAGAAGTCCTTCATTGATAGGTTCATAGGGGTACAGGTATGGTAGGAATAGAGCTAGACAAGCCTAGGCATTGGAGCTACCAATCATGCATGGCAGGAACGTGAAGCAAGCAAGACATCTGCACACAAACAAACCGGTCAAGTGAGGGAGGGAAAGCAGACAAGGCAAAACCAGCAAGACAGGGCATTGCAAGGCAAGGCCAGGCACGGCCAGCAGTACAGGAAGGCAGGCCATTCAGGCCAATCATGCAGCAACCGAGCCATGGCTACATCACTGGCCTACACCTTCTCCTACCTACTGAGCCATCACAACCTCCAGCTCATCCTCCAGGACTTGCCAGAGATCCCCTAGGCTAGGTTCCCAGGGGTCCCTGGCCGCCTGTAAGAAGGCTGCCACGTCCCCTATGTTCGACTTGTTCAGGAATGACAAGGCCTGTGAGCGCTGGAGCATGACGCTGAAGCGCTGCCTGTAGTGAGCGATGAGCCGAGCAGTGGTGGTGGTGAGCCTCCCCTGGCGGAACCTTGTCTTCGCCGTCGAGGTTGCTAACAAGCGGATGAACTGTTGTGTATCCATAGCTAGGGCACCGTATGTTTCCACTGCCAACCCGAAGAAACCCACGTAGTCAGGCCGCCCCTCATAGATCCTGTGTTTCCTCTCTGAAGCTTCTCTTGCCGCCCATCCAGGTGGCTTCCGGGCGTGCTTGTCACGGCACTGCAGCACTAGGTCGGTCACAGTCACGTCTGTAACCCAAGTCTCATTTGACTCCTTGTCCCAAATAGCAAGGTCTCCTCTCTTCCTCAGCACCGGTGGGGAAAAGGCCGTGGTTTCGTGGAAAACCGTGAAGTCAGCCTCCTTCGCCATCTGGAGCAGAGTAAACACTAGAGCGTCGTATGTGCGGACGACATCTCCCCCGTACTCACACCGCAAGAGGTGGTTTGCCAGGCTCGTGTCCGTAATTGCAGTGTTGGCGCGCTTGCACGGGCAGGTGACTGTGACTGGAAGAGCCATTCCGAGGCGAAAGCCAAGTGCCAACGAGAACTGACCAGGGGAGAAAGTAAGGTCAGATCTCTTTGGGACGGCATGGAGCCAGTCCCCCGCGCCCATCCCTTGCAAGCTGATGAGCCGTACTACGCGCCCACGGTCCTTCCCTGGGAGGTCTTCTATTGTGTCAGCCAGCAGCTCCGCCGCCCTCGTCTCATTGATGTGGCGAGACAGAGTCAGTTGAAGGTTCCCCTGTCCCGCCGGCTGCTCCCTGTAAGTGTGTAGTGCCGCCCGTGCAGCTATGGGTAGCCCAGCTTCCAGAGTTGTCAGGGGGTTGATGCCGGGTGGGACGGGGGTCCACTCGTGGCACAACAGCTTGACCGCCCGACTCAGGAGATAGGCCTTAGGTAGGTTCATCTGGCGCAGCAACTGCTGCGCCGCCGTGACCGAGGCGATGTAGGCCGCAGGTGCCTCGGAGACTGGGTCAATAATCCCCAAGCCTCCCAACCTGACCGGCAGACTCCCCTGGCGCCACAACAGACTCCTCTCCAGCTCGTCTGAAGGTACTCGAAGCTTCGCTGCTGCTAGTGCCGTTGCCATCAGGGTCTCACTCCAGCCCCTCCACTTCTCCCTCCCCAGGACTTCCGCCGGTGTCGTCAGCAGAAAGTAGGAGATTCGGCGGGATATGCTCCTCGTGAGGATGAGCATTGCGCTCTGTGGGTGGAGCTGCGCCACCAGAGGTAACGGGGCCGACGCCTCATCAAGCCGTGTTTGTGCTTGGGTGGTGCAGAAGGCAGGCAAGCCGACTGGGCTGCCTAGAACCCGGATCCCATCTGTGATCTGCTGCAGGCCGATGGGAGGTGGCGTGCCGCCGTCATCCGCTAGCGATTGTCCCCATGCCGATGATTTTGCGATGTTGCAACGGAGGCCGAGCGTAGCCAGCTCCCTGGTAATGGCCCCAAAAGCCTCATAGCAGGCCTCCTTCGGCCCCACTATCGTTATGTCGTCGACGTAGGCCACTATCGTGACTTCTGGTAAGAAGGTCGCCGTGCTCAGCAGGCATGGTTGAATTGCTGCCGCAAAGAGTAGTGGACCGAGCGGGTTCCCTTGACGCACCCCGCGTGACGAGAGGATATGGTTCACTCCTAGACGTTCGTCAACCAAGAGTGACGACGGTGCCCCGTAGAGAGTTCGGGCCAGGGGCATGAGCTGCAGCAAACTGGACTGGGAGAGAGCGTTGAAGAAAGCCGCCCGTTCGACACTGTTGAAGGCGTTTTCTATGTCCAGCTGCAGCGCTACTCGTGTGTCATCGTCCCTTAGTAGCGATCTGACGGAGTGGACGATACACTCTGCACCTCCCGGTATCGCTACCCCAAACTGGACTGGCACGAAAAACTCCTTAATGTTCTCGGCTAAACCACGCAATGCCGCCTTAGCTACGACTCGAAGGATAGCCTCCCCTATCGCAATGGGCCGGACTCCTCCTCCTGGCTTTTCTAGGGCGATCAACCTTGAAGGCAGCAGCAAATCGCGGGTTGCTTGTGTTTGGAACGTGCTCAGCAGGTACGTCACTACCTTAGCGAGTAGAATAAGCACCTCCCCGTTTGCCAGTGCCGGATCCTTGAGGTGTTCGAAGCAGGTGCCAGATGGGCCTGCTCCAACCCCGTTTGGGCATTTCTCCTGGATTTCACGAAGTTCGTCCGCGGACACGCTGAATGTCGAGCGGTTGAACCCTGTAACCAGACCTGGTAGCGAAGTTTCGGCTGCGGGGTGTTTCGCTTGGAGGGCAGTCAAAGTTGCTGCCGTTGCTTCTGCGAGCGGTGTAGCTCGTAACGCTGCTACTGCCTTGGAAATGTTTCCTTTCCGTATCAACCCTTCCGCCCTTGCGCATAAACCTGCGTCGTCCGGTTGGTGTCGTGTCGGGTTCTCATTGTCGGGGATAATACATGCGTCGGTGTAGAGGGCCTGCAAGCTGCCGAGTTGGAACTGGTGCAGGCGCAGCTCTATTGCTGTCCACCGGCTGCCTTCAACAAGCTCAGAGGCCGGGCATAGCGTCAGCCTCGGTAGATACTGCAGGATCGCCCATGCGCTTGGGCAGTCGGGATTCTTCGAGAGTCGAATGAGGGGCGCCAGGAGACAGAGCGTGTAGATTTCCCGGATCTTAGGCGGCATTTTGCGGACCACGAAGGGTTGATCCCCTTTTTGGAGTGGGTATTTATCCCACGTGGCTGCCAGCTCCCAGATGGCAGGGTCATCCGCCAGGTCAGACGGTGATCTGACCCCAGAGTCACTCTGTCCCTCGTTGGGTGCGTTCCCATTTTCTCCTACCACCTAAGGGTTTCCCCTTACTCCTGGCGCTTCCTCGTTCCCAATTCTCGTACCTTGCGGGTTATCGCCCTGAGGGTTTACCCCATTGTTCTGGGTTCTCCTTCGCTCCCCAGCTCTTCTCTCTCTGTGTACTCCCTCCTCGTCCTCCAACGAGATTTCTTCTGATGGCTCCGCTGATTTAGCTACATAATCGCCCCTCTCATCGGTGTTTGCATCATCTTCATCGTGATTCGTTGCAGGCTCCGCTTGCTCCGGTCGCTCGTGGCGTTCTCGCCACGTTCCCGTTCTCACGGGCGCGACCCTTCCGCCGACAATTGGGCCTCTTTCGCCCTGTCCCCCTCTGGCCCCTCGCACTCCTCCCCTTGCTCCGCGAGCCGTTTCTCCCCCCCTAGGGCCGGCGTTCTGCTCGCCTCGGCCTGCCTGTTGTGGTCTTCCCGCCGGGATCCACGGCGCCAGCATCGGCGTTGCCTGGCCAGCCCTTGGCTGGCCCCAGGTGATGCCTTGCGCCCTTGTAGAGCTGCGGGTTTCACGCCGTGGGGTCTGTTGAGCCGTGGCAGTAGCCGTGGTTGTTCTCTCCTCTCCCCCCGTCGAGTTCTGCGAATCCCAACGCGGTGGTTGTTGCATTGATGGTCCCGCCACTGCGTTCCCTGTCGTGATGATTGGTGTTGGTGCTAGCCTGATCCCGTCTCTTGCTTCCCTTCTCCCGTCGCTTGTCCCCATAGATGGCAAGTGACGCTCTTGCCCTTGTGGCAACTGCCCTTGCAGAAGCCAGCCTAGGAGGGGTCCCGGGGGACCAAGTCCCAGCCCTGCTCCGGGCCGCCTCGGTGCCGGCTGGGCTCGAAGCGTCGTCTTCTCGCGGCCGACGCCAGCAGTCCTGCCAGCTCCGCGACCCTGTCTACCGCTCCCCCCCAGGACGTGTCCCTGCGTGCTTGCGCCCTCGGCAGCAGCAGAGGCTTCGACGTTCGCACCGTCAACCGACGCACCCTCCTCGGTCCTGGCTTCGCCCTGTTCCCCTGACGCCGCTGCCACCGCCGCAGCCAGCACAAGCGCCGTTACAGGTTCCGGTGGCGCCGCCATCTCCACCGCCTCTGTCCGTTCCTGAGCCACTGGTGGTCCTGGCTCCTCCGGTTGCCACGCCTGGGGGATGGCAAAGGGTGAGGCTGAGCCGCTGCCAGAGGCAGCGTCAGGCCCGCCAAGCTCAGCAGCAGCCACCATCTCAATCGCCTCAGCAGCAACCCCCTCCAGCCCCGCAGCCGCCGCCGCCGCCTCAACCATCACAGCCGCCTCTGACTCATTCCCCATTGCGCCACTTCCCCTTGCCGCCGCGGCCGCAGCCGCCTCGCCCTCCACCGGCTCCTGTTCCCCCGCCGCCTCCCCAGGTGATGTTATTCCCACCCGTCCCACCAGCTCCTCACGTTGCTACTCGTGTGGCTGCGACTCCTTTCCACGTCGAGCAGCGCGTAATGCACGTGGGGACGTATTTGACGCTGCTGTCCTACGTGTTGGACCAACTCCACGTGTGTCTGGCGCGGTAGGGTGTGGAGGTTGGGGGGATGATGCCATCAAAGCAGTCAGCGGCGGTGTCCGCACCAAGGGAGATGCTAAACTATCTCCCCCTGATCGGGCTTGTCCAGGGCGCTCCTGGGGCTGCGCTCGGGCCCGGCCCTGGGGCAATGTTGCGGCTTGCCGAGTCTGCTCAGGGGGCCCCTCTTGGTCTTGTATCAGCAGCCGCATCCGTCCTACGTTGGATGGACGGGAGGCTGTGCTCGATACTCTCCGAGTAGCCGGTTTGTCCCCTTTGCCCTCCCCCTTGGTAGCTGGCTTAGCCTTGGGCTTCCCCATGGCGGTGCAGGCACGCCCGGGGGTTTTGCTTTTGTTGCAGGGCTCTACCATTGCATGTTGTATCAAATGCTCTTATGAAACTTGTCATTGGAGACCCCTTGCCACACCTCACGCGCGACCGCAGGCCGCGCCGGCGAGCGGCGGCCGCCGGTTTTGGAGAGTGAACTAGACTCACCAGTGAAGAATGAGCCTTATGGGCCAAAGACTAGAGACTTTATACTAGGGAAACAGTGATGAAAACGGCTAAGGACTATGGACTAGGCTAGAGAGGCTAAAAAACGGCTAAGGACTAGCCCCAAGCCATCCCTCTCTCTCTCTCTCTCTCTCTCTCTCTCTCTCTCTCTCTCTCTCTCTCTCTCTCTCTCTCTCTCTCTCTCTCTCTCTCTCTCTCTCTCTCTCTCTCTCTCGCTCTCTCTCGAACGAGCCGCCGGTTTTGGAGAGTGAACTAGACTTACCAGTGAAGAATGAGCCTCATGGGTCAAAGACTAGAGACTTTATACTAGGGAAACAATGATGAAAACGGCTAAGGACTATGGACTAGGCTAGAGAGGCTAAAAAACGGCTAAGGACTAGCCCCAAGCCATCCCTCTCTCTCTCTCTCTCTCTCTCTCTCTCTCTCTCTCTCTCTCTCTCTCTCTCTCTCTCTCTCTCTCTCTCTCTCTCTCTCTAATGGTCCGTATATTGATATGGCCAAAAGATACACACGTACAGGTTCGGTAAGCATGCAAGTCAGAACCTATCCCATCTACAGTTCCACAAGTGGCTCCAAAACAGCAAAGCAATCTCCTAGGTGTAGTTCATGGCCGATACCCCCGACCGGGGGGTTCTCAGCGGCTGCCGCCTCACCCAACTTCATGAGCAACCCCACTGACTGTGCTCTCTGAAGTGCAACCGACCACCGCTGCCTGAACTGATACAGAAACTTAGCGGCATAGTAGGAGTTAGAATCGGCGTTGAAGTGGCGCCGAGCCGCCGTGTCTGCGAGGAGTTTCAGGAAGACGGGAACCTCTACACAAGGGCAGCCATAGGTCTCCACCGCCAATGGGAAGAAACCAACCGTCTCAGGTCTACTTGCATAGTGCCCAATCTTCTTGTCTGCCTGCTCTCTTGCCGCCCATCCCCTTCCTTTCTGTGCCTCCGGGTCCCGTCTGCTGATAGGGTCAGTCACAGTCACATCACACACCCATACTGCCCCGCTGCTCCTATCGGTCATAGTGAAGTCGGCCGTCTGCTCTTCGATGGGGCAATGGGCCGCCGACTCGCTGTGGACTATGAATCCGGCATCTTGGGCCATGCTAATGCAGGCGTCACGGACCTCGTTGTGAGTGTTGATGCGGTGCTTGCCGGTGTCGCAGCGTAGGAGGTGGTTTGGGAGGCGGGGGTCGATGATCGCTGTGTGGTCCGCGCAGTCACAGTTTTTGGGAGTGGAGAAGGGCAAGCCGAGCCGAAATCTGACGGCGCTGGCAAAGTGGACCGGTCCAATGCGCCTATTCGGGGCTATTGGTATCGGTGTCAACCAATCCCCAGCACCGTATCCCGTCAAGGAGAACATCCGCTGCGTGTGGCCCGCAAACGGATTCAGCGGCATCTTCCTCGTTTCCTGAACCTGCACCGCGTAGCGGCTGCCGTGGACTTGGAGGGCGAGGGCGTGCTGCAGCTTCACGTCCGTCCATTTCAGACGCTCCCGTTCCAACAGTTCACACGCGTCCGAAGGCAGGGTGGTCTCGCACTCAGTGAGCCAGGAGTGGAGTGGAGTGCTCTCGTCTGTCGGCAGGAGCATATGGCTGACTGTGTGCGACAGGGCAGAATCTGGGGACAGAGTGAGTGTGGAGAAGAGCTGCGCCGCCTGCGTGAAACTTGCGACGAATCCGTATACGCCTTCGATGAGAGGTCTGTAATCCCTACACCCCCAAGAGACGGAGGAAGGGTCGCTTGAGCCCACACACGCGACAGTTCCGCTCTATCCGCTGGAGCTCGGATATTGCACGAGGTGAGCAATGCCATCAAGAGATCGCGGCCCCACTGCGTCCAAGTGTCCCGGGAGACGAGATTGAGGGGGGTCGTCCGTGTGAGGTACGCCACGCGCCGGGAGATGCAGCGCGTGATCAACAGCGAAGCGACCTGCGGATCTGCCCGCTCGATGAGTGGCAAGGGCTTGGCCATCTCCCCCAATTGCCGAGCCAGGAAAGTAGGTGCCCCGTCGGCTGCACTGATGAAACTTCCCAAGAGCCGGACGCCGTCTTTGCAGAAAGGGACTGCTCGCGGCAGCTCGGTTGAGTCGCACGTGCGTGCGCTCCATGCCGTGCACTTCTGCGGGTTGTGCTTCAGGCCCAAGATTTCCAGCTTTGAGGTGAAGTGGGTGAAGGCAGCTACAGTTGCACGTTTTTCCCCCACGAAGGTCACGTCGTCCGCATACGCCAAACAAAGCACATCAGGGTGCGCTGCTGCAGTGTCGCGAAGTGTGGGGTGAATCCCCGCAGCGAACAGGAGAGGGCCCAGTGGTTCGCCCTGGCGAACGCCTCGTTCACTTTGCAAGGGGTCGCTTGAAAAATTTGCATCCAGATGCAGCTGCGACGGGTTACTGTAAGTCAGTTTGACCAGCGGTAGTAGTGGCGAAAGGCTGGGTTCTTGTAACGCAACGGCGATAGCCTGTCGCGAAATGCTGTTGAAAGCCTTCGCGATGTCGGCTTGCAGTACCAGGCTGTTCGGGTGGCCATCCATGTACGTTCGGGTTGCATGAATTATTGCTTTCACTCCACCCGGCACTGCCACGCCGTACTGGAGGGGTAGGAAGTATTCACGTGCAGCATCCCCCATGACCAAGAGCGCAGCCTTGGCAGCCAGCCGCATCAGGCACTCGCCTATTGCGATTGGTCAGGCCCCGCCCCCAGGTTTGGCCAGGGCTATGATTCGGGACGCTGTGAGGAGGTCCGCCACCGAGTCCGGGAGATTTCCTCCCAGAATTGTATTAACCAAGGCATGCAGATGGGTGCTGACGGATGCGTTGGATATTGCAGCGTCTCGCAGGTGCTCAAATGTTGTACCCGAAGGTCCGGCACCGACACCATTCTCGCATCGCCCGAGGAGCTTCGCAAATTCCGCATGGGAAATGCCCAGGGGCTGAGTGTCGGCTGCTTGCCAGGTCAGCGGTTCATCGCCCGCTGGTGGATGCTTATGTCGGAGCTCGTCCAGGATTTCTGGACTCGGTGAGCAGACGGGTGTTGACTCGAGGGCCAGCACGGCTCTGCGCAGACTGCCACGTTTTGCCAATCCCTCGGCCCGGCTCAGTACACTTGTCACATCGGGTCGGTGGCGAGGGGGCGGAGGGGCGTTGACCGCGTTTACCGCATCTTGGTAGAGCTGCGACCATTCGCCACGCTGGAAAGCCCGAAGACGGGCCTTGATTTGCGGCCACTTTGGGTGTTTTGGCGAAGCCTGGCGAAGGGTCAGACCCGGGAGGAAAAGAAGCATTTTCCAACCCGCTTCGGAGTCAGGGTTTCGCGAGAGGTGGTGTAGCGGGGTCACGAGTGCCAGCGAAAATAACTGGCTCAGGTTTGGTGGTAATCGTCTCGACAGCGGCGGTTGGCGACTGTCGCAGAGGGCGGAGATGTCCCAATTCGCGATGTCAGCGAATTTGTCCCCCATCTCCGCCAGCTCCACTGGCGAAAAATAGCAGGGGCGGTGCGGGGCTGATCCTGACACAGGGTGAAGGGGTGCGGTCCGATGTCTGCGTGCACGACCCGATGTCGTTGGTTGCTGTCGGGTTGGATTCTCATCCGTTCGATCAGCATCCAATGGCCCTGCACGCCTCTCTGTTCCAGCTGTGGGTAAATTGGCTGTCCTAGGTATTCTCCTCTCCGTCCCTACTCTCGTTGCCTCTGCTCCATCCCCGTCGTCATCATTTTCACTCTCTGGCTCTGCTTCCGTGGTATAAGAGGGGTCATTTCTCTCCCCTTCCTCATTGGCAACAATTAGGGCAATTAAAGCCCGACGTCCCGCAGCCTGAAACCCGTTCTCCGGCCCTCCACCCGTTCCGCTAACCGCCTTCCTCCTCTCTTCCCGCGCTGCCCGGCCTCGCGATGGTGATTGCTGGGGCTCCCGAGCCGTCGCCAGAGCGCGTTGCCGTCTGGTTGGCAATGGTCGCCAAGCCTCGGTCTGAGCCCGGAAAGGCGACCACGGCGACGAAGCTCCCAGTGCCTCTGGCTCCAAAGCCCTCGACAACATCCGCTGAAAAGCCTCCTCGCCCCGAACCCGCGGCTCCCCTTGCCGCAGCAAGCGCTCAGTTTGCGGCCTCCGCTGGTGCTGAGCGGTCCGCCCCATCTGCCCCAACTGCTCCCCAGGCTCCACTTGAAGCCGCGACAAAAACTAACGCCGCATTCCCGGCTCCCGCTCCCGTTGGGCCACCAGCTGCTGGCCATGAGCTGCAGACTTCTGCGCCTGCTTCGTCTCCGCTCCCAGTGTCCGCCACCACTGGCGGCCTGGTACAGTTGAATGTGCCCTCTGTAGTGGACCTGGCTGCCCCTGTTGCGCCGCCCGTGGCCCAGCAGGCGCAGCTGGCGTCGCAGTCTTGTCCTCCCTCGCCGGACCGTTGCCTGTCTCGCCCCCAATCCCCAGCGCCCCAGCAGGATCGGGCGTCCTCTCGGCGTCGGCGCAATTCTCCCCGGCGCAATCAACGGACGGGTCAGTGGTATCCTCACCGTGGCGGTCGCGGTGGCTGGTGGGGTTCTCACGGTCACAATGGCGGGGGGTCATATGATCCGCCCGTAAGGATGGCGGATCTGCAAAAGGCGGTAACGGCCGCGATGCGTGAGGAGTGGGCTGCTCAGACCCAAGGCAGCTCGCACGTTGCCGCCTCCTATCCAACTCAGCGTCAGGCGGCGCTTCCTGGGGTTCCGCTCCCTGCTGCTCCAGTCCAATCTCGCGTTCCGGCCCCATCGCCCCCCACTGTTGCCGCGTCTGCTCCCGTTCCAGGGTCACGGTTGCATCTTCCGCCCGTTCCGCCCGTGGCAGGAGTAGAATTTGTGGCTGTGGGAAGCTCGGCGGGTGGCCCGGCTCCTCCTGCCGTTGAGGAGCCATTCCAGTTCCTTGCTCAGGCGCTGCAACCCCCTCAGGCCCGTGTTCCGGAGGCGACCCTCGGCCAGCTCTTCCGTCTCGCGGAGAGCTTTCACGCACTGATTCTGATACAGGTTCTTGCACATTCGTCTCTCCCTGCGGCCCCCCCTGAGTTGTTCCTGGATCGACATCGCGATTCTTGCCTGGACGCAGCCGATCAGCTTGCAGGGCTGCTGGCGCCCGTGCTGGCTGCGCCCGCCGAGGGAGGCGTTGCGGCGGTGGGGCCGCTTGATGAGGCTGTCCGCGGCTTGCGGCGCCATTTGCGTGCTGGTTCTGGAGCCGCCGCGATCGGCGCAAGCATGCTTGTGGTCCGGGAGCTGTGGCGCTCCCTGACGGGCATTCTTCATGCTCTCGGAGCTCACCACATGTAGACGCGGGCTCCGGCTCTGCCATTAGTGGTTCGCGCGGCTAGGCCGCGGTAGGGATTGCCATGTTTGTATGCCTGTTGCGAGCAACTCTGAGTGTTGTGTGCTTGTCGTTCCCTCGCGCGCCGCCGAAGGCCGCGCTGTCGAGCGTCGGCCGCCTTCAGCGGCCGGCGCGAGCCGCTTGGTTAGGAGAAACAGATGAAAGAGAACCAAACAATGAAAAGAGATAGCTGCAGAGGAGCACTTTATACTAGCGGGAAGAGTGCTGGAGAGGCTAAGGACTTGCTCCTAGGGCCTCTCTCTCTCTCTCTCTCTCTCTCTCTCTCTCTCTCTCTCTCTCTCTCTCTCTCTCTCTCTTCTCTCTCTCTCTCTCTCTCTCTCTCTCTCTCTCTCTCTCTCTCTCTCTCTCTCTCTCTCTTTCTCTTTCTTTCCCTCCCCCTCCCTCTCTCTCCCTCGTTTTCTCTCTCACACACATGTGCGCACACACACAAATTCTCCTTCGTTCTTGATCTTGCTCGCCCTTGAGTCCGGTCATGCTTCTTGGCCCGTTGGCCAAAGCAATGGTTGCACGTCCGATGAGTGCAAGGGTCGTTGATTGGGGTCATGTGGTAAGTATCTTTGCCATTCTTTGCTCCTTCATCTCTCCTTGTCTCTTCTTCTTCCGCTTCTTGTCTCTTTCCTCCCCCCCCCTTTGTATATTTTTTTTTTTTTTTTTCACACCATGAGCCAAGTCAGAAATTGCTTCTTTAATGAATCCGCCCTTATATAAACCGGGCCATACATTGCCATGCTCCTAGCATGCCTTCGCCCCTACCACATGGGCTACTACCAATGGGCTAAGAGGTTTTTACTCCCTCCCCCTCATCCTAGGCCTCTAGCCTATTTATCACCCCTAACTAGGGCTAGCCAACCGCCACCGCTAACCCCTTTGGGTTGCCCACGGTCTTTGCACATGACGTGCACTGTGCCACGCGCACAAGGCGCCATCGCTCAAGGCCCGCCCCTACACCACGGGTGCGGGTCCTTGGCCACCGTTTCCATTTCTCGGGCAGCCACTTGCCATGTGACCCGACTGGCTACAACGGAAGCACGCCCCACAGAAGCCATGGAAGCTACCCGTGGGCGGCGGTCCCCGCTTTGGGGTGTATGAAGTCGGCCCGTGCCCTCCACCGCGGTGGGAACGAGTGTACGCGCCCTCCGCGCGATCCATAGCCGCCACGTCAGCCACCGCCTGCTTGAACGGGCGGGAGGTGAGGAGACTCTTCTGCTGGTAGAGTTTGAATCGCTTCGCCACGCGGTCGCCGGTGTGGTCCTCAACTTGGAACATCACGAAGTGCTCCGAAATATAGTCGAGGGCGTTGACGACCATTTCGAGTCCGCCTGCCGTGTCGTCGTGCTGCAGCTTGTACTCCGCGTGTTTCAGGTAGGCCCTCACGTCCTCCAAGGGCTCCGCTTTCGTGCGCACGATTGTCTTCATGAATTTTGCGGCCGAGAAGGTGGGGGTGGTGAAAGGAAGGGGGGGGGGAGATTTTCCATGGATGTAAAATTTGTTGCGTTGATTGGAGCCTCACCAGCGTCGTCATCTGAGTCGTCGGAGTCATGATTGTCGGCTGCGGCTTCGGGAACGCCGGTAGCCGCTTCTTTGTTATGATGGCGTGTTGACGCTCCTTTTGCTCCCTTCTCCTTTTTCGAAATTTCATTTTTAGCCGAAATTGATGCTGCCGGTTGTGTAGTTTCGGCTTCAATAACGCTGGCGGGTCGCTGCTGTAGTAGGGACAGAAGCGCTTTGACTTGGTCCGGGGTCAACACCCCGGAGGGTTCACGGTCGCATCAGACAAGGCGGCCATCCTGCGCCTATGGCGCTGACGCGACTGCCTGAGGGACGCGTGTGCCTCAGGCGCATGCTCCGGATCAGCAGCGTATGGCGCCACGTTCGCCACAGGTGCCACAAGTGCCACTGGCGCAACAGGCGCCACAGGCGCCGAAGGGTGCTGCTGGTGCCTCTCGGCGTTTTTGTTGACCTCGAGCCCGCCCAGCAGCACGTCGATGGCAGTTGGGGCGGACGTTTCGCCGTCTGCCCGGTGCTTGTTGCGGCGCTCGCCCGACGTTTCCCGGGCATTACGATCGTTGTTGGAATTAATCAGGTCATTGACGACGGTGTTGTTCGCGCGGTGAAGTGTCTGCGTAGTAGCCATTGTCGTGGTGTTGTGGTTGAGAATGTCGGCTAATCGTGCTGTGTCAGAATTTATATGTAGCTGCCTGTAGCTGTAGTTTAGTGTAGTTATTATAAATTGTTGGTGGTGCACCTTGCTTCACTTCTTTCATATTTGTACCGTTGAACCTATAGTGAAACCCTCATTCTCCTTCTCAACTCTCTCGATACTTTCCTCACCCTTCAACTCGAACTTCTTCTAAGCTACTATGGCTCCTAAGCCTACCTAGCACTAGTATCTTAACATGTTGAAGGTGAAACGCCTCTCGGTAGAGAGCGGGTTCTAGCCAGCTTGAACGGAAAACTAAAAATAAGCTCGAGGAACTGAGAGTTGCACGAGCCGTTTGAAAAATGAGAGACGTGGGTGGAGGGAAATGAACCCCAACCCACGATTTGTAGTTGGAGAAGGGCGCTTAGCGTGCTTCGACGATGCCAAATTCGCGTTACAGTCAGCTGCGCTTTCGAAAAACGTAATTTTAAAAATCACTATGTGAGTTTAAAAATTATCATATCAATCAACTACTAGGAAAATCCAGCGCACACACACATGCAGGAGATGAGAGTGGAGGTGGGCCGATGACCTAGCAGATCTGCGAGAAAAGGCGGATGAGAGTGGAGGTGGGCCTGTATTTGAGAGGATGAAAGAGGTTATAAAATAGTGAGCCGAAGAACGAGGGGAAAAAATAAGTTGGACAAGGTATCACGAAAGGATAGTACGATTGAGATGGGGAAAGAGAGAAGAACAACAGGTTGGGGGGGGAGGAGGCGAACGACGAGATGGGAGGGGAGAGGAGGAACGTGAGCGCGATGCCGACGGGAGGGAGAGCGAGCGCGCAGGCGACGGGACGTGAGTGCGCTAAGGCGACGGGTGGTAGAAGGTGAAGGCAACAACAGGGAGAGCTTGTAGGCAACGGGAGAGAGAGGACGAAGGGGACAAGAGGGAGAGCGTGCATACGACGGGAGGGAGAGGAGACATGCGACAATAGGGAGAGCGCGAAGGCGACGACTACATCAAGGGTGACGGGAGGAAGGGGAGAGAGCAAGGGAGACGGGGGGGGAAGGGTAGAGAGAGAGGGCGAAGGCAAGATATTAGGTTTTGGAAGCGATGTCAGCGATGAGATGGGACTTTTAGGGGAGAGAGGAAAAACGTCGGGAGGGGAGGAGTGAGAGGGAAAACGACAAGAGGGGAGCGGATAGAGGAAGAACGACGGGCGGGGAAGGGAGAGAGCGCGGAGGCGACGGGAGAGAGAGTGAGGAGGCAATGGGAAAGAGAGCGCGGAGGCGACCGGAGTGAGAGCGCGAAGGCGACGGGAGTGAGAACGCGAAGGCGACGAGAAAGAGAGCGCAAAGGCGACGGGAGGGAGAGCGCGGAGGTGACGAGAAAGAGAGCGCGGAGGAGACGGGTAAGAGAGCGCGAAGGCGACAGGAGGGAGAGCGCGAAAGCGACGGGAGTGAGAGCGCAAAGTTGTCGGGAGAGAGAGCTCGAAGGCGACGGGAGAGAGAGCGCGAAGGTGACGGGAGAGAGAGCGCGGAAGGCGACGGGAGAGCGAAGGCGGCGGGAGATAGGATAAGCGACGGGAGAGAGGAGGGTGACGGGAGAGAGGAGGGCGACGGGAGAAAGGATGGCGGCAGGAGAGGGATAGGCGAAGCGCGAGAGAGGAAGGCGACCGGGAAAAATGTAGAGCGACTGGAGGGCGATATACCGAGAGCACGACGGCTGGAAAAATGTATAAAAAAAAATCGTCGTTTACTACATTACGCACACGAGCTAAGTCGATACTTCGTGCCTGGGCCAGAAACATCTAGCTCTATCAGCTTTACTACTAGCGTATGCTACGCAAAACACTTGTGTCTTCGGGACTGGAAGAGGGCTAGTCATTCACCCAGTTCCAACTTGAAGTGGAAGTTTGGCCTGGCGATGGAAACGATCGCATGGCAACGGTCGTGCGGGGAGCAGCGTGAAAAATGCGACGGCTAACTTGGGCCTCGAAAATAGTTTTGGCGGGAGGGGCAATTTTCAGATTGGCTTGAGCCAATCAGATGAGTTCAACCTGCCAACACGGTTTGTTTGGAACAGTGTTGTATCACCCGAACTATTCGCAGCGATTTCAAGTTGGGTCTGCCTTCAGTATTTTATACTCTCGTTTTAATGCACCTGGTGGGATTTGCCTTTACGTCTAGTAACCACATGTAGCATAAGGTAATACAATGTTGCATGCAATGCCTTCAAATTTCCTTGTTGCTGCTTTTGTGATACATTTCAATTGCACTTCTGCTAGCCTCCCAACACAAAAATTGTTCTGTACTAGGTCCGTCCCACGGAATGTACGCGTTAGGAGACGAATGCGTTCCACATGAGTTTCAGGGTGTAAGGAATTTTCTCGATATTCCTTAGCGCGCCCTGCAACATCGCGTACAGCAGCAGCCTTTGTTCGCCCGTTACTGCTAATGGGACTTCGCCGACTTAGCGCGCACTGTTTCACCAAACCTCGCACTGCTGGCATGGCCGTGTCGGCCCACGCTTCGGGACTAGCCCGAGCCTCGCCTCCAGCATTGTTGATTGTGTAGGTGGTTGTGGTATTTTTCTCTAGCTGGTTGTGGGCTAAGGGTTTGGGCAAAATGTGGTGGTTAGACTTGTTGCGGGCTGGTATTGATCTCGTACCCAACAAGCACCAACAAATATTTGCTATTCACTACAACACCTTTGGTATTCCTAGTTTAGCACTTTGGGTTCTTGAGGATTGTTGTAGGGCGAGGGTTGGGTTGGTAGGGTTTGAACAACTTGTCACTTTTCAGATCTGAACTCTTGCTAAAGCTAGTCTTTTGGTCTAATCCATGGCTGCCTACTAATTCCGCCAGAATACACTATCGCACTTAAATCGCGATGGCGATCGGCCTGGATCTTGGTTGAAAGCGTGCGTTACCATTCTAGAAAGTAGAGATTAAGACCGTTCCAACGCATACCTGCTCATAGTTTAAGGTTACATGATCTGCACGCAATGTTCTGTCGAAGTCGGCGGACTTAATCTCTTGTACGCTCTCCAGATTCACGCGCTTTCCATCAGTGGTATCAGAGTTGGTTAGGCCTGCAACATTCCCTCCTATTATCATATTACGAATTGGTTTAAGAATCTCCAGATCTAGGGTTGGTTATGGCCCAGAAATTAGATGGCCCTCCTAGGTTCACCGGCTCGGATTTTTCGCTATGGCGGTTCGAGTTTACGCTTTGGCTAGGTATCAAAGACCTAGAAGGCGTTTTGGAGGGATCGGAGCGAAGATCTGAAGCTGATGAAGGAAAGGCATCTACTGGAGTCTCTAGCCAAGTGGGAGAAGGGGCTGGGGGAGCCTCTAGCTCATCCATAACTGAGGGAAGTGGAGGTGGACCAGCAGCACCGCGAACCGGAAGGCAACGGCTTAGTACAGAGGAGCTTCTTAAGGCACAAGAAGCATGGGACCGCAAGGACAAGCAAGCATTCCAGTACCTGTGTTGGGCCTTGGAAGGCCAAATAGAGCTCCTAAAGATGCTGATTGACCTGAAGGGCAAGGAAGGAGCAGCTGCACTAGCATGGAAGAGAGTTCAAGATCGACATTTGCAAAAAGGGTTGTTAAGCATACTCACCTGGAGGAAGCGGTTCTACACCATGGAACGCAACTATGGCGATGGGGAGACCATGGTGCAGTACCTCCAGAGGGTGGATGAGTATGTGAGGGCATTCCAGGGGATCATCTACACCGCACTCCAGGGGCTGGATCAAGAAGCAAACGAGGCTCTACTACAATACCTTCACCTAGAGCAGCAGAAATGGACCAAGGCCTGGATATGGGAGGTGTTGGTTTCTTATGAGGCTCGCAAGCGTAATGCTGGTAGAGGATTTGAAGGGGGAATGGGGGCAGGTGATAGGGTTGCCTCCAAGAAATACCAGCAGCGGCACGGAGGTGGGGGGAAGAAGAAGGAGCTCGACAAGTGCCTCATCCCTGGATGCAGCCGGAAGCACTCTTGGAAGAAGTGCTGGAGTCGACCAGATGGGTGGAATCCTCAAGGGTACCCAGGAGAGGCTCCACCTGTCACTAGGCCTGAGTGGGTGGAGAGGAGGATGAAGAACGGAGCATGGAACAAGAAGGGCAGCAAAGAGAAAGCGGCAGCAGCGGCGGCAAACGAGGATAAGAAGGGAAAGGATGACTTATCGGATGATGGCTTCTCCTTCTTATCCTTAGAGAAGGAGACGACGCTTGCTGGTCGTACGTTGGCTGACCCCAATCAGCTCATTCTAGACTCTGGAGCAACCTGTGGAATGGTACCTCGGCGCGACCTCTTCACCACTTATCACTCCCTCCCACCTAACTCCAGAAATGTGATTGTGGGGAGCGGAGATACGCTGCAAGCAATCGGCATCGGCACCATCACCGTCATGGGGAAGGAGGGGGAGGTGCTGAATGTGAAGGGTGTGCTTCATGTTCCTGATTTGGCAGCCAACCTTCTCTCATGCTCTCAACTTGCAAGGCAAGAATACATATGCACCTTCACCATGGAAGGTGGCACCGTTCGCAAGGGTGGAGCTGTGGTGATGGAGGCCAAATTAGAGAAGGGCCTATACCTTGTTCTATTTTGTGTGCCTCAGGTGGAGAGGGCACATGGAGTTGAAGCCGAGGAAGCCGCTTGTAGCAGCCATTGGAGGGACGTGGAGCAGGTGACGACAGATTTGCTGCACCTACGCATGGGGCATGCAGGAAGGCAGCAACTTGTGGAGTGTGTGAAGAAGGGGGAGCTAAAGGGTGTGGAGATCAAGGAGGGTGGTGGGCAGCTAAGCAAGTGCCCTGATTGCACGACCGGGAAGCTGCCAAGGACCTCTTTCCCTACCTCCACCACTAGAGCCTCCGCACGTCTTGAGTTGGTGCACACGGATGTGTGTGGCCCCATGCAAACACCGGATAGGGAGAAGGGCAGCAAATACTTCATCACCTTCTTGGATGACTTCAGCCGCCTAAGTTGGGTTACCTTGGTGAAAACCAAGGATGAGGTGGCCAAGGTGTTCAAGCGTTGGTTACACTATGCGGAGAGGGAAGTGTAAAAAGAAAGAACACGAATGAATGAACTATGAAATGTGTGAGTACAAGAACCAACCTAATTGGGTTGTACCCCCTATGGGATACCCCACTATAGCCTACACAACAGCATAAGCTATAATGTTCTGACACACCCCCATAGGCAAAGTGGGGGAGAACAAGGGGTAAAAAAGACCAGTCAAGCAAAGCAAAGCAAAGCTCAAGGTGGATCACAACGTCACCACACAGTCTGAGCACAAGGTCAAGGCCACAAGGCCAATTCACATGCAAGAGGAGACACATATATATATAAGGCTAAACAAACAAGAGCAGGTATATATATATATATATATATATATGCAAGAGTACAAGCAAGGTCAAGAGGTGAGCAAGTGAGGTAAGACAGGTACAAGTCCCAGCTGAGTACAGAGGCGCTGATGATCACAAGGCGGAAGTGCCTTGGTGAAAACATCAGCACTGTTGGCCTCAGAGGCCACGTACGCAAGTCGCAACTCACCATGCTGCTGCAGCTCACGAGCAAGAAAGTAACGGAGAGCAATGTGCTTCATTCTCTGCTCCAAGCGCTGCTCTCGACACAAGGCCAGCATGGCCTTGTTGTCTACATACAGCACTGGAGGAGAACGAGGCGGCTCTCCAAGGTCAGTCAGCAGGTAGGTGAGCCAGCGAAGCTCCTGTGCAGCCATGGCCCCGGCGTAGATCTCAGCCTCACAGCTGGAGCCAATAACGGAAGACGAGCAAGTAGCCCGCCACGAGACAGAGCCAGAACCAAGACTGAAGGTGTACCCCTGCGACGACCGCTGCGTAGCCTGGTCGTTAGCCCAAGAAGCGTCCGCGTGGCCAGTGAGGACCACTGGACTCCGCCCTCCAAGCACTAGCCCCATGCCCGACGTACTGCACAAGTAGCGCAACACCCTCTTCGCTGCAGCCATGTGCTCTGGTCGGTGTCTCCCAGGAGCAACATAGCGTGCAAGAATGCTAAGAGGGTATGCAAGGTCAGGTCGTGTGCAGGTCATCAGGTACATGAGGCAGCCAACAAGCTCTGGGTACGGGCCACTCCACTCTACGAACTCATCCGAAGGCAGAGCTGAGAGCGAGTGGCGAGTAGCCAGAGGAGTGGCCTGAGGCGAGGAGTACGTGAAGCCGAAGCGCTGAAGGACCTGCTGCACCATGTGTGACTGAGTCAAGGTAATGGTGCGGCGTGCTCTGTCCTGAGTGATCTGCAAGCCAAGGTAGCTGCGCAGTTCACCCAGGTCTGTGCACGTGTGTCTCTTCTGCAGCTCCGACTTCATGTAGGCGAGTCCAGCAGTGTCAGCTGTGGCAAAGACCAAGTCGTCGACGTACACAAGGATGTAGAACGGCGACAGAGAATTGTCGGTGCGCAGAAACAACGACGGGTCAGCAGTAGAGGGAGCAAACCCAAGAGCCGCAAGCGTAGTCCTCAGTGTGTCGTGCCACTCACGCGGTGCCTGGCGGAGACCGTAGACTAGCCGTCGGAGGCTCCACTGGGTGCCAGGAGGGAAAGTCCCAGTGAAGCCAGGTGGACGGCGCAGCCAGATCTCCTCGTGCAGGCTGCCCTGCAAGAAAGCAGTGCTGAAGTCAAGAGAGTGAAGCTCGTGGTCGCGCTGAGCGGCTATGTGCAGCAGCACCCGAAGAGTGGTCATCTTTGGGGTGGGAGAGAAGGTCTGAAAGTAGTCAACTCCCTGCCGCTGACTGAAGCCACGAGCGATGTACCGCGCCTTGAAGACAGGTGGAGAGCCCGGCGGCCGCTTCACCTTGAAGATCCACATGCCACTGACGATGTTCGCCCCAGGAGGGGGAACCGTGTCAACGTAGGTGCCTGTGGACTTTCAGGACGCCATCTCTGCATCCATAGCTGCCTGCCACTGAGAGGAGTAGGGACCCTCTATCGCCTCCGCGTAAGAGCGCGGAGTCGGGATGTCTAGTGCATCCGGGTCTCCCTCAGGGGCAAGTAGTACGGACGCGAGATGAGGTGAAGCAGCCGCCAGACACTGTAACTCCTCCTGCCTGTCCTCAAGGACGTCCGTGCCAAGAGCACACTCACCCCCGACGGACGAAGGACAGACAGACGCAGACTCAGCAACAAGACTGGCAGCGTAGTCTAGACGACAGCGA